GAGTCGAAGATCGAGTCCAAGACCGACTCAGAGACCGAGTTCGAGATAGAGTCCGGGATCGAGCCGAGGCCGAATCGGAGACCGAGTTCGAGACCGAGTTTGAGACAGAGTCCGAGATCCAAATCGGGTCCGAGACCGAGTCCAAGGTCGAATCCGAAGTCGAGTCCGAGATCGGGTCCGAGATCGAGTCCGAGACCGAGTCCAAGGTCGAGTCCGAAGTCGGGTTTGAGATCGAGTCCGAGATCGATTCTGAGACTAAGTCCAAATACTAATACAACTCAAGGGGTGAAAGCCCAAAGTGTGCATCTCCCAGGGGGGGGCGGGGGGGGCTGTAGGGGGTTCCAAAAGTATAGTAGGGATAGTGAGGTCCAAGAACCAGTCTTGAAGGAACTCTCCAGTGATGCTTCCAAATTGACTTGAGGTTGAGACTGGGGCTGAGGGGCCTTGGGTGGGAGTGAGCATGGGATTGGGTGGTGCCGGAGGGGCCACCCAGGGAAGTGCTCAAGAGCAGCTCCCACTCCCAAAAGGGAAACCGACTGCGGTGCTCCTGGCTCATGTGGAGTGGTGCCCCACTTGAGTACCTTGTGGCTCATTGGTCTTCGCCCTTCTTAGGGGCTTGGGCCTTCCCTTCGGGATGGAAGTGGAGGGGTAGAGGTACCCATACTGGGCTGTTAGGCCATGGTGTTTCGCCCTGACGTCCCGAAGCAAGTGCCACACCCAAGGCTTGGGATTTAGAGGGTCCCATGATCAAGTCTTGTGGTACCAAGGGGTGTTAGGAATCTAGAGGCTTGGTGTGCTTGGCTGCTTGTGCCTGCAGGGAGTGTAGCCAAACCTTAAGTCTAGTCTAACCCGGGGAGGGGGATTGGGAGAGATTTGGGAATCCGTAGATGGATGGTTAACACTCAGTTGCTCGTGCAGTGAGTAGCTGAAACCAAGTAGGACCAAGTAGGAGCTGGTACCATAGGCGAGGACCTTGGCTAGGGAACTTAGCACAAGCCAAGGCAGAGTTGGCCGGATAGACGAGGTAAGCTGGCAAATTGGAAAGGAAAAATTTGTGGCTTACACATTGCTCAAATAAAACGGCATCACTAAAAACTCGTATAAATTAAATAGTGTATGAAAAGTAGTCTTAAGAATATCTTCTTCAGCCATCGATACTTACTAGTACCTAAAAGCAAAATCTAGCTTGATGAACTAATGACTTCTCCCTAGATGATCCTAGGATCAATAGTGTGAGGAAGAGGGTACACATCTGGGATTGTCACTTCATTTAATGGATGATAGTCAATGTAGAAAAATTAGACTTCATCACAAAATGAAGTTCATATGCTTAAGAACTTTGTGATTTTCGAATAACACCCTTTTCCAATATTTCTTTGATGTTTGCATATAAAATCTTGATCTCTTTGGATGATCGACAATAAATATGAACCTTGATTAGACAAGCATCCCTAGTTAGAATCAGATGATGTGTGGCAATGTTGGCCCCAGATGAGAGGTCAAATTCAAAGTGATCGGCACACTCCTTCATGAGTCGATTAACTGCTATAACACAAAGACCATTGGAGGGATCGGAAAAAGGAAGAGCAGAACAAAATAAAAATATAGGAAGAAATAATGGGAAGACAAAAGTAATAGAAGCAAAAGTAAAAGTAAAGAGACAAAAAAATACAAAAGTGAGAGGAATGAATGAAATATGAAGAAGTATAAAATAAGGGGGAGAAGCTTCAAAGTCACACTTGGCATGATTGCGCTACAACCAATCCATACCAAGGATGAGGTCAAAAGCTTGACTAAGCACCACCCACAATGATTGCAACCCAAACTCAAGATTGCCCACACGCATAACAAAGTTTGTCTCATCTCATGCATATGCATGGGTACGGCCATTGCCATAAAGAATGAAAACTAGCTTTATTATACAATACAAATGTAGATGGGAATGTGTGGCAATAGGTCAAGCAATAGAAGATAAACTTAAACCTATATCAACCAATATGGAGAGAATAATAAGAGATCTCTTATTATAAAAACGAACTTGAAAAGTAAATATTAGATGAATTGGTGCCAAGTGAACACTTTGATGATATCCTGTGGGAGATGGTTCTGTTCTAATGGAAGTTGATACTTTTGCTACTTGAATTCAAAGACAAGGGTGAGGACGTGGTCGTGGCCGTGATGTTCACTGTTGAGCATGTGATGAAGTTGGTCACACTTATCGGTGTTGTAAGAGTTTTTTAGATTGGTAACCTCCATTTCTTGGGTGGAGATCTTGGCATCAACAATGTCCTGTTGATACTATTGCAATGGAAGGTTTGGACACTAAAATGCATCTGGAAAACAAGGAATTGCACAAATAACGGATGGACCTTGCACGAATAAGTCAATAACCTTTTCATATTTCTTTTGGAGGTAAAGCTAAAGGATGTGTAGCGAGAAGTGGAAGAGGCAACATCTCATAATATTATTACAAGCCAAAAGCATCGTCAAGGGTGGTTAGAGCATGTGCATACATAAGTCCTACAAGATTTTAATGAAGTGTTGGCCACAACATTCTCAGCTTGATCTGCTCTAACATATTTAGCTCCACATGAAGCAAAAGGCTCTGGAAACAAATGCCAAATTACATTACCAACTCAAATGTTCCTTGACAAAGATAATGCAATTGTTGGAAGGCATCATCACAATCGTTGACTTCATGTTTGGGAAGTTTATTAATTACAAGAAGAAAACTAGCTAAACGTAATTACATATATAAGAATTTAATGCATCCCTTGGAACTTTCCATTTGATCGTGGCCAAGGGTATCTTCTACACAAACTGGATGCTCTTGAGAGTTTGTTAGAAGTCCTGGAAAGAAGTTCATGTTAAAAAAGTTTAGACCATTACTTCACTCATCTTCTTGCCCTGCAGCTTGATTGGAGCAGCCTCATCTCCAAAGAACTGAAGGCTGAAGAGAAACTTCAAGCTCAAGAAGTCTTTCCCTTTGTCAATCTCCTGCTGCTGGATAAGTCCCTCAACATGGTCCAAAAGCTTTTGCTTGAGCATCATTCGGTCACCTCTCTGGACGTTGACTACCAGCCCGAAGTGGACAGTCCTCAAGAAACTTGCCAGGTGTGAAAATATGATACCATGGAGATTTCGGATTCCAGAGAAGCGAGCTGAGGTTTCTCGGTTGAGCCTTTCACGCGTATAGGAACCTGCAGTGAAATCTTTAATATCAGCAACACGAAGAACAAGAGTAAATCATAACCTGTGCCAGATAAAAGTGATCGTTGTGCTCTCCAGGTGACAAAACAATGTCTAGATATTCTCTCAAAGGCAATGCCACCTAAGGAAGAACAAGTTAAGAACAAAAGAGAAGAAATCAAAGAAAAAATACAAACTTATTCATGGCTTCTAATATCACTGAAGAACGTAGAGCCATCAGAACCTGACTCAATCCGACCGCTGCCAACGGCTGGATCGAGTTAACGGGCGAGCCACAGCCCGTTGAGTTTGATTGCTGCTCACCATTGCTTACACTAGAGGTTCTCCTACGATTTCCTTGAGAAGAGGTCTAATCCCTGCTCTAGAACACGAAAATCCTCACCTTAAGATGCTCGACACCGCCAGTGGCTGGATTCCATCGCTCTAATGCTCGCACAATCCCTGGAGAAACCTGCCAGAAGGCTTACTTTCTCCCTCGACGGTGGGCGTCAATTTTCCTCCATAGCCAAACGTTAAAAATGAAGAATGCGGCAATGCCAGCGCCTGTCCTGCCGATTGATCGCAAGAGCTCGATTGAGGACCAAGAATTCGTCCAGCTAGTGCGTTCTTGCACCCGTGCACGCCCAGATCTGGAGCCATGGCCTCTCCACCGACATCTTCCTCTGCAATGCGCTGCTCTACATGTATGGCGAATGCGGCAGCGTCGGCGAGGCGCGGGAGATCTTGGACGGCATGGACGATCACAGCAAGAGCAGGTTCTCCTGGATCACGATGCTCACCGTCTACGCGCACAACGGCAGGCCCTGGGACGCCAACAATCTCTTCGATCGCATCCCCGGCGGCAGAGATTCCGTGGCGTGGAGTTGCCTCATCGGCGCATTTGTTAAGATCGGGGATCTTGAGCACGCAAGGCGTGTCTTTGATCTCCTTCCGCGCTGGACTTTCCTCAAATCCACTGCAGTCCTCCTGGCGCTGGCGAAGGATGGCAAGGAAGAGGACTCCAGAGCGATGTTCTGGGCGATGCGGGAGGGAGATCCCGTCACCTGGAACGTGATGATCACTGCATATGCCCAGAATGGGAATCTCCAGGTAGTGCAGGCGATGTTCTTCCGGATGCCGGCCAGGAACTTCGTCTCCTGGAACACGATCATCGATGGATGCGCCCATGATGCGTTGGTCAAGAAGGTGTTTGATTCGTGGTATCCCGGACATGAGCGGGCGTTTGGAGAAAGCGCAAGCTGCCGGCCTTGTGATGATCCAAGCGTTCGCGGACAATCGAGCAAGCACGTCTTCGTGTCATGCACGGCCTACCAGCTTCCTCGCGAGAGCAGCCGTCGATCGAATTCCCCAGCGCGATGTGGTGTCCTGCCAGTCGTATGCAAAAGCATGGATCAAGCGGACTCTTCCTTCCCGACTGATCTCAAGATATGAAGTTCCACAATGATTTCAAGAAATTGTTAGATTAGCAGTGATCAATAGCCATTCTCGATTTATATATGGATGGACTTTTTTAATTCTTTCTTGAGGGAAGACTTCCCTTGTTTCTTAAAGAAGAGCGGCATAGCTTCGTGTGTAACACGTTTGCATCTATCTCGGCATTTGCTTGGATCTCGTTTTTGTTCCATGATTGTTCTCGGCAGCCACCAAAAACGTATTTCCACACAGAGACACGAGAGATGTCGATGATGTCCGGAGGATACAAAAACGAACCCAAGCAAATGAAGTTAGTAACTGCGAATAGGAGAAATAGGAAATGGCAAGTGTGCTTACCGGACTGACTGCTGCCACTTTTAAGCCGCTCGAACTTTCTTCACGACCAAGTCCTTGTCGAGGCCAGGAGCACTCCTTTTCGCACCACAGGGCCTCCTCCACGTCCTGTAGATCTTACTGCTGCTGCTTCTGCAAAGCTTGACAATCCATGGGTGTTGTAGAACCTGATCGACTGTCAGCCTTTGTTTCGGATCCACAGCCAGCATCTTCTCAAGGAGATCCTCCGCTACAAACGAGAAAGGACCAACCGGGGATGCCCCCTGTCGCACACGATCAAATGCTTCACTCGGCTGATATCCTCCCTTTCCCAGCATCTCGTATAAAATCGCTCCAAGTCCCCACACGTCGATAGCTGCTGTGTAGAAGCTCCCATCCTTGTTCTCTGCCACCTCGGGTGCCATGTACTTTGCCGTGCCACAGTACTGCGACATCTCCTCAGGGTCGTCTGTGGCAATACCAAAGTCACTAATCACCACTTTGTCGCGCGCGTCTAGCTTGAAAAGGATGTTGCCCGGCTTGAGATCCCGGTGAACTATGCCTCTCGAATGCATCTCCTTGAGGGTCTCTGCCAGCTGCTTGATAATCTGAGCTGCTTCTTCTTCGCTCATCTGCCCGGAAACGCGCAAGCGATCAGCAAGACTAGATCCACATAGTTCCATAATAATACTCCCAAAACACTGTCCTCCATCTCTCTCCTTGATGAAATCTTTGAAGGAGACAACTCCAGGGCAGCCCCGGAGCTTGGCCATGATCCCAACTTCTCTCTCAGCGTCGCTCCCTGATCGAAATGCCTTGGCTGCATATGACTTGTGACCGTCCAGATTGTGGAGCACGAATACATGCCCCTGGCCGCCACACCCCAGCGTCCTACCTTTCTCGAAACCTCGCTGCCCCAACATATGAATGCTGAGAAGCTCTTTGCAATCTTCCTCGCTAAACTCACTTACCACCGCCATCATGACAAGCTTTGTTAGAAACAAACCCTAGCTTTTTCTAACGGCTGAGATGGTGTTTGATCGACGGCGACAATGCGCTGTGTTTTCTATATTTCCACCAACGAAAGTAGCAACCACTTGAGGAAAAACTGCCGAGGATGTGTATCTGTGAATCCATAAACAAGGACTGCATTTCAGTTTCTCATCATTTTTCACTGCGTCCCAAGCCGATATTTTTTCCTCGGGAATCCAGGGATGACTCCAGCCTGAAGGTGTTCTCTCCAAGTTGATTCGCTGCTAGCACCTTGAGACAAAACCATCCACGTAATGCCGAAACTTCCGAAGCTTCCATCTCCCGGAAGTCGTCCCTCGACGGTGGGCGCCAATTTTCCTTCAAAAATGAACCCTAGCTAGGAGGTAAGAGGATTTTGGGCAATGCTAGCGCCTGTCCTGCCGATTGATCGCCACCAGGAGCAAGAGCTCGATCGCATTGCGGCAGGAGCAAGAATCTGGAGCCATGGCCTCTCCACCGACGTCTTCCTCTGCAATGCGCTGCTCCACATGTACACGCAACGGCATGGACGATCACAGCAAGAACAGGATCGATAATAGCACCTGCGTATCATTTTTCTAAAAAATATTCTTCACATCCATCAATATTCTTTATACATAATTGTGGCATTCTAATTCCCATATAAAATATTTCAAGTCCATGAAAGCTAAAGTTTGACATAATCTAAATTAATCGAGACCTACTTTTAACTTTAAATAGTATAGATTGTCTTTAATAAAACTTGATGCAATTACCATATTAAGAAAAATAAAGCCAACACTATCACCATGGTGAAAAAAGACAAAAATGCCATCATTGAAAATTTTTGGCATAGAAATAAGATGTTTTAATATTTTTGGAACATACAAGACTCATCTAAAAGTCCTATTAACTTTTATAAAGAACTATAGGAATGGATGTCCCATTTACCTTACATATATTAGTTATGAAATTTGCAAACTATAAAAATTTTGAGCTACATGAATGCCCTTTCCAATTCCAAAAGAAAAAAAAGGATTTAAATAGTCTACCATTATTTCTTGAAAAACTTTTCTTGCAAATGCTTTGTTTGCAACCTTAATACCTCTAGTTTCTTCATCTTCCTCAACTCTTAATACCGATCCATCAAGAATTCTAGAGGAAATAGGTTGCACTTTGGATCTTTAGAGCTTTGCTAGGAGGTAGGCAAAAAATAAAAATCAAGATAAAGAGTAGATAAAGAAACGATTTTCTCCTCTATTTTTAAATTTACCGAACCTAATTATAAGGCATATGCCATGTGAGAAGGAGCTCATTGTGTTTTTGCAAGGCAATGTGGATGATAATCAAAACCTAGGAATGTCTTCAATAAAATGTTTGAGAGGACATTAGTCAATTATGCAATACTGCTTATGCTTGAGGAGGTGGGGATCTACCATTGGCTCATATTAGGACCATATCTAACATAGCATCCCAGTCAGCCACCTACTCAACAGCATAGGGCTAGGTTGCAACTATTTAATAATTGACATTTCAATGTATGTCCATGCATGCATCACTATATACTACTATATTAATAATTGTATTTGCAATTGGAGGGAAAGGCACAATAGCTGGAGGAGAGAGCAATTGGAAGCACTAGCTGTAGGGTTTGTGGCTGGAGCTATGTTTATGGCAGTTTTTAGAGTTGGATGGCCTCCTTGATTAGCAACTCCTTCATTCCAAATTGAATCACCTATTTCTTGTTAAGTTTGCATTTTCTTTCCATACCCAATGTTTCCACGTCCATAGAAATGTAGAGTTTAGCAAGCTTTATAGGACAATTTCACTGGAAAAGTGTAGTAGACAAAAACTTGGAAGTTACATTTTTGCCAATCAATTAGCACTGATTTAAGGTGAAAATTAGTGTCTTCACCTACACTTGATCTTCCTCACCTCATCCCTCCAAACCAGCATCGCTTGCCCCCCCCCCGCTGTTGCAATTTCTTGTTCTATTTCCTCCTCCAATTCTAAGGCAAAGTTGCATTCTTCCTCATCCATTAGTTTGATTTGCTCCTCCAGCTCTATGGTGAAACTATCCAGCTTAAGTATAGGTTCCTGGGCTTGTTGTGGATCGGTGCTTTCTTCCACTCCATGGAGACCCAACAAAAGATCATTATGATCCCCCTCATTAACCTTGAAATCTTTGACAAATTCCTTGAGATCCTCATCCTCCTCACTGGAATCCATGTGGACTTCCTCCCCCTTTGTGCCACATGTGTGCTGGGACACATGCCCATCTTCCATATCTTCTATGAGAGACTCAATCAAACTCTGGAGCTCATTGCTGACCAGCAATGACTAGTCACTGCTAGGGCTTTGACTCACCAACACTATGTCTTTCTCACCACCACTAGGCCTACTTGGCTTGTGCTGCTGCTGTTACTTCTTGGTTCTCTTTTTGGGGTATTCCATGTTGACATCGCAATCTTTCTTGGGCCTTATAGTGCCATTGTATGTGTGTGAGACACAAAATCCCTAGGCCCCAAAGTGGAGCTGGAAGGGTGCCACGTGGTAGTGCCCGAAGCAAAAGCCAAACAAGCGTAACACGTTTGGACTAAAAGCTCCAACTTGATAGGTCGAGAGCCGGAGTGAAACTCCCAACAAAGTGCTCGAGGAATGAGCACGAAGCGAGCAATAAACAAGGCTCTAAAAAAGGGACCCAAAAGGACGAACACATGACACGTGAGAGTGCCCGAGATGGAGTCCAAGATGGAGTCTGAGATGGAGTCCGAGATGGAGTCTGAGATGGAGTCCGAGATGGACTCGAGATGGACTGAGACGGAGTTCGAGATGGACCGAGATGGAGTCCAAGATGGAGTCCGAGATAGAGTTTAAGATGGAGTCCAAGATGGAGTCCGAGATAGAGTCTAAGATGGAGTTCGAGATGGACCTAAGATGGACCGAGACGGAGTCCGAAATGGAGTCCAAGATGGAGTCTGAGATGGACCCGAGATGGATTGAGACGGAGTCCGAGATGGACCAAGATGGAGTCCAAGATGGAGTTCAAGATGGACCAAGACCGAGACCGAGACCAGGATTGAGACTGAGACCGAGGCCAAAGCCGATACTAAGCCCGAGCCCCAGTCCGAGTCCAAGTCCGAGTTCGAGTTCGAGTTTGAGAGGGTGAAAGCCCAAAGCATTTGTCTCCCAGACCCTGGGGGGTTTGGTGAGCTCCAAAAGTATAGTAAGGGGGAGGACTGCAGTGGAGCCAATTTGGCTAGGAAAGGCCAGTTTGGCCCAGGAAGGCTGTACCCAGTGTTGGGTGAGGAGCTGCCCACTGGGAAGTCTAAGACTAGAGTGAACACGGACCGACAAGTGGGGTAGCTTGGTGAAGTGTCCAAGAGTCGGCTCTAGTTCCCCCGGGAGATTGACTGGCCGATGCTCTCAGTCCAAGTGTGGGTGGCACTACCTACTTGGATACCAGGCGTGGCTCAATGGAACTTCGCTCTAAACCCATGGCTAGAGCACCTAAGGGTAGAAGGTAGGGAGAGTACCCAGGTGGCTCGCATAAGGCCACGGTGTTCCGAAATGTTGCCCCAAAGTCCCAGACTGTGGAAAGGAAGAGGAGCAGACCTCTAGCATACTAACTAAAGACATAGTCACATGGTAAGGAAGTCCCAGAGGGCATTGGGACTTAGTGGTCGGGCTTGTGGGCCTTGACCCAATGGCAGTGTTGGTGAACACGGCCATGGGTAGGACGGGACTTGATTGGGACTGAAAGAGGGATATTGGGGAAGGCTGTTCTCCTTTTTGGTGGGCATCCGAAGGATGCTAAGGAGTGGATTTGTGGTGACCACTCATGGATGGTTGGCCCAGTCTTGGAGAGGTAGGACTATGATGCAAGTGGTATTGAACCACCAGTGCGGCAAAGGTGATTGGGCATGGCCTTAGCGTAACAAGTTGCTATGTCGGTGGTATCTTTGAGTGTCGGTCATGGGATCGGACACGTGGAGCACTTGGACCAAGTGCAAAGGTTGAGTGGCGGGGATGCCATTCTCGGGGCTAACAAGCCCAAGTCTGAAATAGGACTTATGGAGGTTGTGAGTGAGATTCCTCCAAGTGGTCGAAGGTGTGGTTAAGTGGCTAAAGTAGAATGGAAAAATTAGTCGCTTACAACTTGGTATCGGAGCTATTCCTTAGCCTGACTTTTATTGGTGCTCAAGTATATCACCATTGATGTTGGCATCAGAAGGTCCTAGGAGTGGGCCTGTCCTTGAAGAGTAGCATGTCGAGAGAACATGGCTCTCCACTCAAGTTCATGCGTGAACTTGGGCGCAATGTGGTGGATAGAAAAGGGCTAGTAAAGGAACGACTTTGGGATCTTGGGAACAGTATAAGGGTTTCCTCAGAGAGTTGAGGATGTGATCCAGATGAGCGTTTGACTTAGCAAACTGGCTGATGTAGTTGTGGTAAACAACTACAGTTGGGATCACGGAAAAGATGTGGACTCCAAAACAATAAAGGAGTCACAAAATTACCCTTATATAGTTGAGGCTGGTACTCATAAATTTGACACCGGAATTGGTGACCGTGGGAGGTTAAATACAGAAGAGGACACTAGTCCTTGAAATGGTAGCCGGGGCTACCTCTAATAAATGTTGGAACAACCCAAGGAGTTGGGGGTGTATTTAAAGATGAGTTGTTATTCTCATCACATGGACAAGTAGTCCTAAGGGGCAAAGGTTAGCCCTAAGAAAATCATCAAGTGTCGGAGTAACACTTGCAAAGATTGTCCTTGTGAGTGTGAGACACAAAATCCCTAGGCCCCAAAGTGGAGCTGGAAAGGGTGCCACGTGGTAGTGGCCGAAGTGAAAGCCAAACGAGCGTAACACGTTTGGGCTAAAAGCTCCGACTTGAAAGGTCGAGAGCGGGAGTGGAACTCCCAACAAAGTGCTCAAGGAGCGAGCACAAAGCGAGCAATAAGCAAACCTCCAAAAAGGGACCCAAA